GACAGAAAGAGTGTTTAAGCAGGAGTCCTCTGGCTGAAACTGAACTCCAAGGAGAGCCCTGTTCTTCATTCTTCTTCCCTCAGGGAAAAGCTTATACAGTAAGTCTCTTCTTATTCCCCCAGACAGAAGAATGATTTTTTTGCCTGGGAGCGCGCGTTTGGATGCGGGCAGGTCTATTCGTTGAAATTGTAGAATACAAGAATCACGAAGGAGTGACGGGATCAGATTTGTTCCTGTTAAGAACTAGATACAGCTCAATGGATGGCTCACTTTTTATTTTATTTTATTTTATTTCTTCTTTTACTCTTCTTGTTGTTGCTTTCGTTGGACAAAGCTAATGGATAATTGCCAACTCTTTTATTTTCATCAATTCAAGAAGCTGGCCTGTAGTTATCTAGAATTAAACTGGAGTGGGAAAAGAGAGACTCCCTTGAGATTTAAAAGTTCCTGCTAAGCAATTATTGCTGCGCACTTAAATTTGTCTCCGCGCGTTTGTATAATCCTCTTCAGGAATAATGCAAACAAAAGGATGAAAACTTACAAAGGGGTTTAAAAGAAAAGAATTGTTTGTTTTTGATGCATTGTTTCTTAAATAATGAGTGGGAGATAACATAGAATTGATGAAAGACAAGAATGATAATGCGGTTAAAGTAAGCAACTTGCTCTAACTTATGTGAATAACATTCTTTCCAGTGAGGATTTAAAGATTGCCATAATATGAGAATAGGTGACTGTGGGGTCTTTCAGGAAGTTCCTACCACTGTGATGGTTTTAAGGAAAGTTGCTCTGTGCTCCTTGGAAAGAAAGCAGGACTGCTGTGGCTCTCACTGAATTTTAGAGATGTGTTTATTTTTATTTTTAAAAATCATTTGGCTATCCTATTTATGCCTTTTGAAAAAGCAACATCAGGATAAGGCACAAGGTGTGCTGATTTCAACATTATTCAAGAATTCTTCTGGAGAGCTGTAAGCTATGACATTTTCTAAATCGTCAATAACAGAAGCAGTGATGAAATACAGCAACAATTCAACTGCATTCAAGAGGATTTCTTCACCTTTTTTTCTTTCTCTCTTTTTAATCACAACAGGTTCGGGACAATGGAAAGACAGCTCCAGTAAGTGTGAACTCTTCCTTTTTGCTAAACCTGTTGGGTTTCCAAATATTGCTTTGTACATTTTGCTGATACAAAGAGAGGGCATTTACCTTTGCTGTGCAGTGAAATGTCTCTCTAAAGTTACTTGTACTTGAGAGTTTTGGGGTGGAGGGGGGGGCTGATCAGTTTGCTCTTCCATCCTTTTCCAGCTCTGTGATGATAGGTCACTGAAAATGCTGATTGCAGTTTCCAGGGAGGTAATTTTCAGAGCTTCACAGGTGTAAGATGTCGTAATCTGCCTCTCATCAATATTTTCCAGTTAATGATCAGGATTAGCATTTTAACTGGCTCAAGCTATATTGTGTCTCCCTTTGCAAATCTGGCCTGTTCCTTGGCTTCAAAATACATTGTACTCAGCCTTTGGGGTTGTCTAAGGAAATAACCGGCTCTAAAGATACCTGGGAATATTTTTTTAGCTTGAAGAAGTATATCTGGAAATAAGGCTCGTTGGTTTCAATGAAAACATCTATGCCTAGCCGCTATGCTTAGAATCAGAAGCATGAAGATGTAAGGCAGTCCAAAATATTGAAACTAAATGCTAACCTGATTAAATGAAGTGGGTTTTTTTGGCAATAGGATGATGGATTATAAGAGGAAAGGTGATATTATTGGTGGATGGATTTAGAAAAAAATTGGTTAATTGTCATTCAGTGTGTAGGAACAAAGAATAGGAGAAAAAGATGGATCTGTTTCAAGAAATAAAGGAGGGAGAGAGAGAGACAGGGGAAGAGAAAAAAGTAAGGTCAAAATAAAGAGAAAGGTTGGGGAGGAAGGTGAAACCAAGGTTGAGATTGCTTAAATATTGCAGGGCTTTGAGGCATAATGAATTAATCTGTTAATTGAACTACTGAGAATTACAATGCATTGTAGGTTTTTGTCTTGTTTTGTTTGAAAAAAATAAACACATTAGCTCATTATAATGATCAGCTTCTAAACATAATTCTTTGAAGTGACTGTTTCTTTCACATACGTTCTTGATTTTTAAAAGCTTACCTTACTGCTCTTAAAAATCCAAAGTGATGGTATTGTGTATCTCTCCATTTGTGAATTGTTTTGAGAGCTGTAAACCACTAATAAAAACATTTATTGAATTTTCTTCCCTAGATAAAACCTCTGTATGCTTTACCCTTGTTTGGGGGCAGGGGAATCAGTTTTGTAGCCCTATAACTCTTTGATTTTCTTTTTTAAAACCTCCCTTTCATTCTGTCTTTCTTTCCACTTCTTTAAAAAAAAAAAGTCTTTCTTAAACTTAGTCTTAGCATACTGATTATGAACCAGCATACAAAAAGGCCTGATGGATCAAAAGAGTTTGTATGGGCAGTTGAGCAGGAGGTGAATATTTAACGCTTTTGTCCATCAATAACTCTTTGGCTTTGACCTGTCTGAGCAAGTCGTGCAATAAGGTGAAACGCAGGTCACAGCGTCTAACAAATATGAAAATCTGTGCCATTGCACAAAATATTGGGGCAATTTCTTTTTTTTTGTTTGTTTCTTTCAGTGATTTCTACCTGATCCTTCCAAGGTGTTGCTTCTCTTATGCTCCAAAACCACACACACACATAAAACATGCAAAGAATTGGCTACTTGAGTATATTTCATTATTTTTTAACTAAATAGGCAAAAAAGGGTTGGGGTAGGAGAAGCCACTGATTTTCCCTACTAAAATGCATTTTCAGCCAATGCTGGAAATAGATATGGACTCAGAAATTTGTTAAGAGATCCAGTTCAATTCTGTTTCCAACAGAGAGAGTCACTTTTGGATATAAAAAGCTCTCTGCCTCACAATTCAACAAAAGAAAACAAAAAAGAACTTACTGTTGAAAGATACACCTACATGTCCTGATATTTGTTTTATTTTATATTATTTTTGAATAGCCACAATGCGTGAACTTTTGGACTCAAGTATGCTGCTATCAACAAAATAGAAATAATGAAATGCTGGGATATGTTTGTAAATGATTTAGGGTGACCTCCGGCCCTGCCCTTTGCATAAATGCAACTGTCTGAAAACCAGAAGACAGGGCTTTTGTTGCCTATATAAGTACATATCTATTTTAAACAGATCCTCTCTGCTTTTAAGAGACTAATGGAATCTCTCTCTCTTTTTTAAAGAGTCTTCCCCCCCATTATTAAAATCAAAGCTAAATACCTGTTTGTCTTGTAAGAGATTCTCCATTTGTATAACATCTTTTATTTGGCGATGAAAGACGATTTGTTTATTAGTTTGGATACCTTCCTCTTTTTTACAAAGAGGAATTGAACTTGTCAAATCATTTCCCGATTCAAATCTGAAGGTATCTACAGTCTCGGTTCTGTTAGACTGGCTCAGCTCTGTAAATTTAGAAATCAGGATGTCCTGCTCTCTGTTCCTTCTCACATCATTTGTCCTTTATAAAAAAAAATATTCGTTTTTCTGTGAAATTATACATATCCTTCCCTTCATACCCATGATGCCAGGTCTTTCCTCCAACAGAACCCAGTGTGTGTATTCCTTGGATGAAAGAAAGTCAGAGGGCTGGAAACAGGACAGTGTGGCTGCCTTTCAGAAAAGGAGACCAGAATGTTGTTACGTTGTCTATATATACCCTGTAGAACCGAATTTGTGTGGTGTTTACGTAGTCACAGATTCGATTCTAGGGGAATATATGGTCGATGCAAAAACTTCACTTTTTCTGCTCATGGTTAGGAGATGGAAAGGGAGAAAGAAGATCTGCAAAGATGCCCTGCCTCGCGCTAGAACAGGAGCCACGGTCTTCGTCAGATTTTAATTGTCCTTTGGTACCACATCCCATCTTAAACATGCTCACCCCGACAGTACAAAGAACGTGGAAAAAGACTAGCCGGCTGGTTGAAAACCTTCTCTTTCGATATCAACGGCCGTGTGTGAAAGGTGAATAAAATGTTGATATTGGCGGAGGATTTCTCTCTCTCTCTCTCTCTCTTCATTTACGTGCCTTCTTTTCAAACTAATATCGGGAAAGCATTCATATCTCTGTAGCAGAAATGTCCTCTGCAAACGAGCTGATTATTAGATAGAGGTTCCCCCCCCCCCCCTTAACGTGTGGGTTTGCTTTTGTTTCTCTTTCGTGTCTGATTGTTTTTACAAAAATGAGGGGGCGGGGGGAGAGAGAGAGAGAGAATTGAACTTCCAAACTTTCCGAATAGTTTCCTGGGCCATCCGATTTGCGTTGCGTTTTGACCCAAACCGATTTTTACGCTGGGGGGGACCAGGACTCCTAAGCGAGTTACTCATTGCCTACTTGCACGCCGCTCCATCTAGACGAGGGTAACTTTTGATTGACCCCGGCCACAAAGGCGAGCCAGGTCCATTGGAGGCGGGGTTGCTGGGGCGTTTGATGCTGGCTTCCTGCCCTTTCCCGGCTGTTCCGGCGCTCGCTCGCTCGCTCGCTCGCCTTCCTTCTTTCCATTTGACTGCCCCCTTGCAAAAGCTACACGAGCCTTTTTCTCGCGGCGCCTTACCTTGTCAAGGCAGGGAAGGGCATCCCAAGGTTAGAAAAGGCAGGGGAGACAAAAGGCGCCCCCTTCACCTGCGGCGGGGGGAGCCGGCGGGCGGAGAGGGGAGAAAAGGGGGCAGACGGAGGTGGCCAACACTGCTTTGGGGGCTGGCCATCGACGGAGGAACCGGGGCGGGGGGAGGGGGTTGGTTTACGGACCCGCATCTCCTTGGTAAACGTGTGTGCGGGGGCGGGCGGGCAGCCTCGGATCACCTGCGGGTCCCCTTGATTTGCCCGTTAGGTTCATGTGGTGAAATTTGAGGAAATTGTGGCGGAACACACCAACCCCGGTGACAAAGCCCCGCGTCTCCCGATTGGCTCAGCCGGTCACGTGGACGCCTAACTTTATTCAGTTGACAGCAAGTAGGAGGGCTCTCTGGGAAGGGGGGGTGGGGGGGAAAAAAAAAAGACAGCGCGAGAAAAAAAAAATTAGTATTTTCCATCTTCCGAAATTAATGGCCATGAGTTCGTATATGGTGAACTCGAAGTACGTGGACCCCAAATTCCCCCCGTGCGAGGAGTATTTGCAGAACAACTACCTAGCCGAGCAAGGCTCGGATTACTACGGCGCCTCGCCAGACTCGGATTTCCAGCACCAGGGACTCTATGCGCGGCCAAACTACAGCGGGCAGCAGCCCTACAGCTGCAGCAATGCCCAAGGCTCGGCGGTGCAAGCGCGGGGTCACGGGCAGGAGCCGTCCGGCCTGACGGGGCCCTTCCCCGGGCAAGGGGAGCACTGCCCCCCGGCCCCTGTGCCTGCCCCCAGGACTTGCAGCCAGCAGCACCCAAATCTCAAAAGCCCCAACGGGTCACCCGCAGCAGCAGCAGCAGCAGCAGCAGCAGCAGCAGCCAAGCAGCCAGCCGTGGTGTATCCCTGGATGAAGAAAGTCCACGTTAACTCTGGTAAGCTTCCCTTTCTTTTCTCCATCCCTCCTTCTCCACGTGTCTCTCTCTCTGTACCCCCCTCCCCACACCACTCCAAAGGCCTTTCCAGGTTCCATCAGGAGAAAGTTAGGTGGAAATCGAGGTTGCCCACTAACTCTTGCCCTAAATGTTTGGGGCTTGGATGACATAGGCCTCTTGGCCATGTGCCTGAGACAGAAGGAGATTCTCTTTCACAAAGGGGGCTAGGATTTCTGAAGTCCACTCTGGGACCTAAAGAGAGAGAGAGGAAAGCAATGAATGAATGAATGAGAAGCCCATCTGCTAGTAATAGCCAATGTGGAAGAGTTTGCAGTGGCTCCTCCAAGAACCAGGAGAGTTTATTTAGCCTGGTAAATCTAATGAGAGAAAGAAAGAGAAAATCATAAATTGGTTTACAAATATTATTTGGGGCAGGAAGGATGTTAATAACTTCCTCTGATTTTTTTTTTTTTTTTTTGGTGTTTCCTCCTCCTCTCAGTAAATCCAAACTACACAGGAGGAGAACCAAAGCGCTCCCGCACGGCTTACACCAGGCAGCAAGTCCTTGAACTGGAAAAGGAATTTCACTTTAACCGGTACTTGACCAGGCGCCGCAGGATTGAAATCGCCCACACGTTGTGTCTCTCCGAGCGGCAGATTAAGATCTGGTTTCAGAACCGAAGGATGAAGTGGAAGAAAGACCACAAACTCCCCAACACCAAAGGCCGCACATCCAGTTCGTCCTCCGCCTCCAGCCAACACCTACAAACTGTTTCCAAGGAACACCAAACGGATTTGACCACTTTATAGGAAACTTGGAAACAAGCCTTTTTTTTTTTCCCTCCACTCCCAGGGGTTTTTCTTTGGAAGGGAGGCTGCCCAGAGTGCAGGCCGCCAAATACAAGCACATAGATACTCATCCTGGTGAAAGGGAAAGCAAGGTGTAGCCCTTGACAACTTTCCAATGGGTCGCCTCCTGTTTTCTAAGACAGTGGAGACAAATGTTGCGGGGACCACAGGAGTCACGGAAGGCAACTTAAACATTCAAACAAACAAATTCTGCTTCCAGGTGGTGAGAAAATGATATACTGTATATCTGTCTGTCTCTATGTATGTGGAAAACATAAATGAATCAAATTAATATTTTTAAATGAAATTCCCCTGGCAGCATACAGTCAGGCGCTATTGCAGACAAACCATTTGGAATTGCCTTTATGATCTACCAGGAAGGGTTTTGGGTGTTTGAGACTAGCTGTTTTTTGCCTGTTTTTCCATCATTCCAGGTTGTAGAGCAGGGCAGATCCAAACCTGACCTTTTGTCTTGAAAACAGGCAAACATTCCCTTTCCATTTCTTTTGAGTACTTTCAATAAACAACCTTAAATTAAAAGCTTACCCAATTCCTCTACCTTTTCAGGAAGATCTTTAAACAAGGAAGTGAAACGGGTTGTTTTCATGTATTGGTGATATTTGTTATTAGCCTATGTATTTATTTGTTAGTTAGAAAAAGAAAAAAAAAGAATCAAACCAAAAATATCAACAGAGATAAAAACAAATCTTGCTCTCCCTCCTGGCCCGCTGCTTGGATTTTGTTTTTGAAAACTGATTTCCTTTGCTGCTTTCCTTTCAGGTGTTTCTGTACATAGGAAATCTTTTTCCAGTTTTTTTTTTTCTTCAGATGAAATGAGAAAGAACTGGGACCTTTTAAAATTTGAAATGGACTATGTTTTCCCTTTTGTTCATGGCTTGTACTTTAATCCAAGAGAGGAGGAGGAGAGGAGAGGAGAAGAGGAGGGAGAAAGTGGATTAAATCAACCACAAAAGCCAAGCCTCTCCCCCACCAGTGTAGTAAATATTCCATGTGATTCATGACCCTCAAATTTATTTTATGTTCATCGTAGATTACTATTTTTTTTACTAGCCTCTTTTGATTTAATTTATTGTGTGGGCTTTAAAAACAAAAGAACAAAATAGAGAAGGGGTAGATTCTATGGTTTGGATGGAAAGACCAGTGCTTTCTTTTGGTTCAGATGTAAATACAAGAACTAGGATATATTTTAAACAGATTTTCAATATAAAGGCAGCTCTTACTGAGAGAAGAACAAGTGACGATAAACTTTGGCAGAAATTCGTGTCTTTTGCACAGATGAGTAAGATTTTTGTATTCTTTGTTTCTTCTTTTCTTTGAAAAAAATTTGGTTTTGCCAAAAAAATTTAAGCTCACACCATGGTGACATAAAGGAGGATTTTTCTCCCCTCTTAAAATTGTTTATTCTTTCTAAGCTTATCTTATGACAGGAACAAAGCAAATGTGTCCATTCTGCCCATTTTTAATTGGAAAAGCAGGGAGAAATGTTCCGGGCTCTAGTATTAAACTCACAGTCCCTTTACATTTACAATTTGTGCTTAAGCATGTTTATTCCCAAGTAAATTCACTATGTTTAGAGGAATCTGCAATCTGAAATTCTATCGATGGAAAAGTTTTGAACTCAGGAACCTCACACTAACATTACAGGCATCTCATTTCTTTTTTTTTCTTTTTTTCAGGCAGTTTGATTTCTAAGCACATTCCTTGATTTAAAGGAAAACAATAAAAGTAATAATAGGGAAAGGGAAAGAAAAGGACATTTCCCCTCTATATAATGGACATCTCAGAGACCCACACTTAATATTAGTGGATCTTAAGGGAATAAACCTGGTAGTTAAATTATAAAGCTTGCGGATAGGAAACGTTTAGGATGTTAAAACATTTAGGATGGATCCTAGCAGGCTCTTCCTTTCTTTCTCTTTCCGTGCCAGAGCCCTTCCTTTGTCCCCTTTGAGATGAACCTCTTCTTGGTCTCAGCCTCAGCCTCCAGCGCTGGCTCGTTCCGGTTTTTCCGTTGAATATGTGCCCGTCATGATATTAAAGATGGATATTTGGGCATTATTTGTGTCATTGTCTCTATGACAAAAAGCACCCCGTCCATTCAGGGGGGAAAGGACGCCTCCACGTTGAGAGGCTCAAAAGGTATTTCTTTGCTCTGGCTCCTCTTTTCTTTCTTCCTTTTTGTTTTTACTGAAGTTCAGCTCAACTGTAGAAACAGGTTCATCCAGAGGACAAATTTTCTATCCGATTAGCCGTATTGCAGCCTGGAGGAATGACCTCTAAACCCTTAACCTCTTGGACCTGGGGGAGTCTCCCTTCCTTTTCGGGCCGCCCAGCAAAGCGCAAGACTGCTTCGAACCCCCTTGAAGTCTAAATTCTGAAGTTTTTTTTTTTTTTTTTTTGAAAGTGCCCACCTAACTGCTAACTGGGGGTGGATTGTCTCTGTGTCTTTTTCAAAATTCTCCTCCCGCAATTGTTTGAATCCGGAGGAAGGGAGAGTTCAGGTTGGGCCTGGTTTGAACCACTACTGCAGCCCTGTTCTGGCCTGAGCAGGAAACCGGCAGCCTCAGTTCCTGGGGAAGTTTAAACCTTTGCCTACTTACTAGCAGGCAAGTCCTCACTGCCTTTAGCAGCCTACAGTCTTTTAATCTTTTAATCTTTATTCTAATGGGTCCTTCCCTTAGTAAGAGATCTCAATATGATTGCTCGGGAGAAAATCTGGGAAAGGCAAGAACAAGGGAAATTTCTTTGGTGTTTTCAGGCACAAACTGTTTCTCCTCCAAACAACTTAACTGTGGAGTTGTAGTCCAGCCACTTGGGTAAAGCTATATTTTTTAAAACTTAATCCTGTTTAGGACCACAGATCCAATGCCTAATGCTATCATATTTGTTCAGAAATCAACTCCAGGAATTGGGGCACAGCAAAGGCCAGTTAGCCGCAAGCTCTTAAGTCTGGTTTGAGTAACAGGATGAGGGTGAGGAAGGCTGTTAAATTAACACCCTAGGAAAGCTATAATCCCTCTTCTCCACTGTCTACACCCCTTCCCCATACACAATGACACCTATTTCCCAGTAAACATGTTCTGAAGGGAACTGCTGTTGGGACAAATTTTGCTCCACTCTATAGCTCATCCCTCCTCAGACCCATGAATTGAAGAGGATGCAGAAGGTGTGAAGAAAACAGAACTGGCCTAAATCCTTTGTAATGTTAATGTCTTCTTGACAAATGTTTAGTTCAAACTAAAGTTGACTTGAGAGAGTGTGTTTGAGTGCAGGGGAATCCTCTTTGAGCTTTAAGTCTTAAATCTTGGTGGTATGTATGTTAGCTCACCCTTGAAAGGAAATGATAAAGTGGCCAAGTATCAAAGGTTTTCTATGTGATGGCTCCACATTGTAAACATTTGGTCAAAAATGTGAATGAAAATGCACGTGGGTGCCCACTGTTTACTTCCTACTATCCTTTTTCACTGTTTCTGGGAGGGAGGCAACAAAGGAGACTGTTCTGGCTGGGAGTTGAGCTAGGCGGTACCTCCAGCAAATGGAAGTTGAAGTCATTTTCTTTCCTCTGCGTAGGACTATCGCCTTTGGGTCCAACTGCATTGTCCCACAAACAATCTCTGTTTACTAGACTTTGCCAATGTTTTGCTGCCTCTGAATAAACGACTATTTATACGAATGGCTTTGCTATCATCATTTGCATATCCAGTTTTGATGCACACATACCAAATGTAAAGATGGATAGTCCACATATAGACTTTTGCCCTGGTATAGGGAGGGTGGATGCTTGTCAAGGTCTGGTGTTTAAAAAAAGCTTGTCAAAGTATTGGTTTTTTTTTTTTTTTTTTTTTAAAAAGACAAGATGGTGTCTTTAGTATAAAATGTTTGAAAGAACAAGCAGAAAAAGAGGGAGTGGGATTATTAGTTAGGAATCCAGTCTCTGATTTTACCCGAGGTCTTAGTCTCAAGACAATATGTAAAGGTCTCCGTCTTTACGCACTCTCCCCTACAGGGTTCAGGTTCAGCCTGCGGAATTCCAAGTTGTTCTGCATGGAACCTCACTCCACATTTCAGTTCTATGCATAGTTGCTTAAAAATAAGTCTGATTCCAGGACCAGCTGCTTCTAAGTAAACATACTTGAGATTACAGCTGAATTGGAGGCTGCAGTCTTCTTCCTGCTTGTCTGGGAATAAATTGTATTGAACCTAAAGACACTTCTTTCTGAGTAAACCTGCATATTGTAAATCACTCTGTTCAGTGGAGCAGCAGATATGGCCAGGATCAAGAGTTCCCTATGTCAGGATGAAAAAAGAGAAGGTACTTTAAAATATTTCTTGGTTTAGTTGAAATTGCGCATTTAGCCAAAGTTATTTTCATTGTACAACTGGGAAGTTTTCAGAGTGCTTTAAGATATTCTGCAATGTTATTTACTTTCAGTAGTATTATTTACTTTTAGATTTTTTTCCCCAGTGATCTTTTAATGGCATTTTGTGTATGTATACTTGTCCTAAACCCTGATCCTGAATTGTTATTTCACAGGCTCCACTTAACCCAATGGGTTTTCCTTCCCAGGGAAAGTTGTGATTTGGTCCCAACTCTTTTTAGAAGTGTTTAGAACATCTGCATTAGAAGTTTCATATACAGTTTATACTATGGCTTCCATCTGCTGGTGCAGTTCTGTGTCTTCATGTGTGCATATACACCCATGTTAAAACAAGAACATTGAATTCGGGAGATGTATGGGCATGATTAAAATAACTATTTGAATCAAGGCTAGAGATATGAAGAGTAGGATGCTATGAATCATATACTTACCCATAATCTTTTTTTCTTTCTTTCTAAAGGATGTTAGGATGCTTTGGCTGGGATAGTAGTATCAATAAAATAAACCACTGCAGTAGAATTTAAAATTATTAATATTGCAGCTGGAGGCTGAAAGTGAACATTAGCCTATTCATTTTCCCAATATATTCTAACATCTGAATTGTCTAATCCGGCACCACACAATAAGTTCTCTTGGCTGAGATTAAAAGTTGACTTGCTGCATCTAGTCCAGTCCCGTGTAAGACCCTCCTTCCATTTCTTCAGGGCAAAATCAGGCTAGAAAAAACAGTGGGAGCTTCATTTCAGTAAATAATTTCAATTCCAAATCACTCTCCTGACCACCACCACCTCAACTAACCCTCTAGAGGGAATGCATGTTCCTAAATTTTTGCAGAGGGTATGCATGTTCTTAATTTTTTATTCAAGAGAAGGCCAAATTTTGAATGAAATTTATTTCTGGATCAAAAACATGCCAAGATCAGAATCTTTTAGCTGCACATTTGAGCTATTTAAATCCAGAAGAACTCTGTTGAGGAAAAAGAAAGAAGCATAGAATTTAAATTTGAGTGAAATTGCTCCTCCCTTGCTGTTTTTATTTTTTTATTTTCCATTTTTTTAACCTTCACCTTCCTAAGAAAGGTTACCTTGGACAAGAATCCACATTTCTATAGAAGGAGTTCAAATCCGATTGCAATGGTGGGCCGCAATGAAGTAGTTGTATCCTTTGACTGGAATTGTCCACTCGGGCTATAACAGGAGACCATTCTGCTTTTTTTTTGGCCAAGACTGTGT